TAAATAAAACTCTCTCTCTGAAAAAAAAAAGTGACACTCTTGGGAACCTACAGGGGAAGTTCTCAGTCCTATAAGGTGGCCAGAGTCAGTATTGACTCGATGGCAATGAGTTTTTGTTTTTAAAACCTCTGTAATTTTATCTTCCATATATATGGGGGGAACCCCCAAAAACAGACCCCCCCCCAAAGCTATATATTAATTTTTTTCTTTTGGCAAAACAACCTTATCGCCTTCAAAGTACTCTCCATGACACTTAATACATTTGTCAAATCTGTGATTCCATTCCTGGAAACATTTCTCGAACTCATCTGTGTGGATGCTGACAGCACCTCCCTCATTTTTTTTCTTCACCTCTTCTGTGTCGTCAAATCGCTGTCCTTTCATGTCCCTCTCTATTCGAGGAAACAAAAAGAAGTCGCATGGAGCGAGGTCAGGTGAGTGAGGTACGTGGGGAAAGAGAGGCATGTGTTTTTTTGCTAAAAACTGACAAACTGGGTTGGCTGTGCGAGCAGGTGCATGGTGGTGGTGGCAAAACTAGTCCCCCATCTGGCACAAGTCAGCAGGCCTTTTTTATCGCACACTGTTATGAAATCTTTTCAGAAAGCTTGATTAGCAGTCTGACCTGGTGGAACAAACTACAAATGCACTATCCCCCTCACATAAAAAAACAAACAAAAAAACCAATGAGCATTGTCTTGATCTTTGACTTCACTTGACGAGCTTTTGGTGGGCGAGGTGACAAGGTTGTCCTCCACTGGCTTGATTAATGTTTGCTTCCAGGGTCTAAGAATAGCACCATGTTTCATCACCCAGTAATGACCTTGGGAGGAAAAAAAGCAAGTCCGGGTTGCTCTGGGGCTGTTCTTTCAAAGCATGGCACTCAAAATGCTTTTTCCCGGTCAGTCAGAACCCGAGGCACAAATGTCCCAGTGACGACCAACCCTTCTCATTCCCATATCTTCCATTAAAATCCGTTGGACTGGGCTCCAAGAGAGCCCAGGGAACTTCCCATCAATGGTCTGTCGCCTGTCTTTAAGCACAAGTGCACGAATTTGGTCGACATTTTCGTCCATTCAGGAAGTCGACAGATGTCCAGAAAGAAGTTTGTCATCAATTGACATTTCATCTTTTTTGAAATGAACAAACCACTCATACGCTTGAGTTTTCCCCATAGTGCAGTCCTTATGGGCTTTGTTAATATCACAACAGTTTCTGCAGCATTATTTCCCCAAGCAGGAGAAAAGTACACAGCTGCATACTGTTTCCCTTAAATTGACCGTCCATTGCAAAAAAACAAGGCTGGATTGAAAAAATTCCCTGTGACCAGAGAACCTTCCCAGGCGATGCCACTGGGTGCACTAACTCAGACCAAGTTGCCCGAAAGCCCTGTCCAGCAGAGCTTTTTCCCGTTTGGGGGGTGGGTACCCCCTCTTACTCTCTCTACCCTCAAATCCTATACATTTCTGAAACCTGCTCATTTGATACTGTTTTCATAGCATGCTGTGGAGGGACAGGCAGATAAAGCAAATCTTCCAAACCCTTTTACTGGCCATTGTCCTTCATTGTCTGTGATACTTCACATGCAATCAATCCCCTTTTGATGGATATCTGGATTGTTTCCAAAATTTCATCATTTCCACCCAAAAAGAAAAGAACGGCGGCTTTTCTCTTGGCCTGCAATTCGGCCAGGTTCTCAGCAGCCTTGTCAATGCGTCTAGTGGTTCATCTTTTTGGAGTCTGCCCTAAGGAAATAATCCTAAGTGAACAGAACAGAAATTCTTTCTACACGGAGATGCTGCGGAAGTGGAGACCCACAAACAAACAGCTAAGTCCCCACTAGCTGCCGACGAGTCCAGGGGTCCTCAAACTTTTTAAACAGGGGGCCAGTTCACTGTCCCTCAGACCGTTGGAGGGCCGGACTATAGTTAAAAAAACTATGAACAAATTCCTATGCACACTGCACATATCTTATTTTGAAGTAAAAAAACAAACGGGGCAAAAACACCCAGCGGGCCGGATAAATGTCCTCGGCGGGCCGCAGTTTGAGGACCCCTGATGTAGACTATGCGAGGACACAGAAGCATACCTGCCACTATTAAGAGAACAAAGGGCATGTTAATATATCTAGACAACAAACAGAACTCCACATTGGGGGGAGGGGGTGGGTGGAATGGAAGGAGCAGCCGTGGATGGAAACTTTGTGAAGGGTCATCTTGTCAAAGTCACCACCGTTCTCTGCATCCAGAACTGTACCCCAAGAAATCACAAGACAGATACTAAAAAGGTATCTCCAAGAAGGCGCGTTGACTCGGGGGACAGGGAGAGATGGTGGCCCACTGGGGTGCGGACTAGCGGAGGTCTGGTAAGTGGGTTGAAGGCAACGTTGTTACCACCTAAATGCCTGTCAATAACACTGTAACTTCCTTCCAGCCTTTCCTTGCCTCCACTGTTTAGCTCGTTGACAAGGATGCCCTGCTGGTGGACCCGATCTTTCTGGGTGTAGAGTAGGGGGACTTCCAGTTTCCCTTTGTGGCTTACACTCCTCCCTAACAATCGTGTGTGGTCAAGAACAAAATCATTATCAATAATTTCATTTTCCCACCAGGTGGATCCTTGAAGGGTGTGTACAGAAATCACAACATGACTCTCCGGAAAGAGAAAGCACCTTTTCACCCTTTTCCATAGTCTCTGTGGGAATGCATTGCTTTCACAAGGAAAAGCCAATCCAGCATTTGCCTCTTCAGTGTGGTTATACCTGTCTTCCTGTAAAGGGGCTCGCAGTAGCTTAAAGTAAAACTCTGGGTGCGTGAGGGCTGGACACACGTACGACCAAACACAGGAATTCGCACCCAGGACCCAGAGTGACTGATTTAGATGCCACGATCAAGACCAGGCAATGAGGAGCCCAGCCTCAATTCTGAGTGCTTTGGTGAGTGGGCGGGTGCTGATTTGTTTAGCCACAAGGGTGGAGACAGGGGAGAGAGGACTGTGAAAGGGGTGAATGTGACAAACTGTGTGCAAGCCGTGGAAACTACGGCACTGTCTTTAAAACATCCTGTCAAGGCCGATGTCCCCTCAAAACTCCCCCTTCCCCAGCATGTGAATGTTTACAAAGACAAGGGAGGCAGCGACCTCCCTCAACAGTTCTGATTCAGCCTGCGGGCCGGGAGGTACTGTTCCACATGACCCACCTAAAAGTCCTCAAAATGCCCAAAAGAGTGCAAATAGGAAAAAGGCATCTAAAAAGGTCACAAACGGCTCAAAAGAGGCTGACCCCGCCTACCAGTTGAGGGTGACACCAAGGGAGCATCTCCAATATGCTCTTAGGCAAATTGCTTTCAGGGACCAGTATAGCTCCCCCATCCCAAGAGGCTCTGACTCTGGTCCCTTGGCCTCCATCAATCCGAATCCTCCTCCCTAGCAGTTGGATCCTGCTGAGGCTCCGTTCTAGCATCTGTGAAAGGAGTCACGATACTGCCCGCTCCACAGGGATGCTGAGACTCAGTCAGATAAGGAGGGCAAGCACCTGGACCAATGCTTGGCACACAGTAGGTGCTTCACAAAGAGCTGCCTCCTCCTTAGCATTGTCATTATTCTTGGTGGGAAAGGACTGATGAGGTCAGCAGGGGGCGGGGCGGGGGCGGGGGGCCCTGGAGAGACTGGGGGTCCAGGTAGAGGCAGCACTCTGAGCTGGACGATGCATCGGGGACAGGGATCACCCAGTCAGCGTGGCTGTCTGGTCCACAGTGGGCAGCCGAGGGCCTGCTCAGCAGATGCTTCTGCCCACAGACCACTGTGGCCATCAGAAAGGGTCCGCTAGGCCCGGCCCGGCCCAGGCGGCCATCATACCTTTTCGCTACACTTTCTGATGGTGGCCGTGAGCTCACTGACTACCATATCCACACACTTGATACCGGGCTCTTTGAGCTTCTGCACCTGCTTTTTCACTGTGGCTTCAAAAGCGAGGTCAGGTGTGAAGAGGCCCGTCCTGCACCCAGGGAAGAGGAGGGGCCACGGCAGGGAGAGGAGGGCAGTGAGAGCCAAGCGGGGAGCCGGGATTGGGGGGATCGGGGGGGATGGCATGGGGCGTGGGGGAAGAGAGACATCGACACAGAGAGAGAGAAACAGAAGACAATGTGAGCGTGGGACCGGCCCTCCCTGCAGCCACGCCACCCGGGGTGGACACCTCCCAGGTGCAGGAAGGCCCCGCCCCAAGGCTCTGAGGCCTGGCTGGAGGGTCTGGGGGGCCAAGGTCCTTAGTGCAGAGCTTCTCCCGAGCTCCCACCCTGCCCGTCTCCCCTCTGCAGCTACTCTGGGCCCTGCCCTCTCTTTCCCAAGGCCGTCTTTGGCCATAGCTTGGGGTCCTCATAAAGGGAAGACCCAAAGCCTAGACAAAGCCTAGACCCCCTTCACCAATCCTGCTCAACCTCGGCTTTCCCAGTGGCTGCTACCTTCTCTTCATCCTGGGCCCAAAGGCTCTTGCCCCATCTCCTAGATCTATCACGGTTGCTTTGCCCAGTTGCCCAGGCGGTGCCCAGTGCCCTGCCCGACTTCTGGAGCCTCCATTCACAGAGATGACGGTGCTGCTGGTGCCCCCCGTCCCTGCGCCCCCCCACCCCCAAGTGGCGGCCTGGCTGCCTGACATCCCCACACCAGCTCTGCTCTGCTCATGCCCGGGCCTCTCCTCCTGGAGAAACTCAGCTCAGAAAGACAGAAAGAGAGATGAGGAAAGAGAAGGAGAGGAGGTGGCGGGAGCGGGGGGCCCGGGACAGCAGTGGGGAGGGAGAAAGAGGGAGGCTGTGGGGTGGATTCGAAGATGCACTGGGCTTGGGGAACAAAGCTCTGGCCTCCGGGAACAGCCCTGCCACCGCCTAGCTGTGTGACCTTGTGCGGGTACTTGGATCTCCTGGGCATCTGCGGTGCAGTGGGCACCACTTCTCTGCCCAGCCCTCCTTGCATGGCTCTGTGGCAGACAAGATAGGGCTCTGTCCCTGGAAGGCCAGATGTGGATGGAAGGGAAGGGGGGCGAGTGCTGAGTGAGGGTCCCGAGTGAGGGTGGAGTGAAGATGGGAAGGATGCAGGGGAGCGGAAGTCAGGGGACCTGCTAGACCTGGGACCTTTGCACACCTCCAGCTGCCCAGGCCCCAGATTGTGCCCCACCCCCACCCCAGAAGGCCCTGTACTTGTCTTCAAAACCAAGGTCTCCCTAAGACTCATCCTGGGAACCCCTAAAGCTGACATCATCTCTGAGGACAGGAAGGGGCTCCAGGGTCCCCTCTGTGCTGGGAAAGCTCAGAGTGCATAGCCAGCCATCACACCTGCCTTACCAACCGCTAGTCCCCATCTTCAGGGCCTCGGGGCTGGGGAGGTGGGCGAGGCAGTCCCCTCTCCTGGTCCTTGGCGGGTTGCCTCCCCCACCCCGCTGGGGTCTGTACATGCTACTGAGGAGGCAGTGGGGGGCATGGGGAAGGGGCGCCTGGCAGCAGTGCAGGGTGGGGGCAGAGGCGGGGACTGGCCCGGCCGCTGGGTTACCTTCTTGGTGCACTGTCTAACGGTGCTGATTAGCTCCGAGATAACCATGTCCACACACTTGAGACACGGTTCTCGGATCTTCTTCACCTGCTTTTTCACAATGGTCTCAAAGGCCATGTCTGGGGTGAACAGCCCTGTTCTGAACGCCCGGAGCGGGAGAAGGGCACAGTGTCACCGGCCGGGGTCCCTCCCCAAGGCCCTGCGATCCCCCCACCCCACCCCTACAGGGTCCTCCCACTACCCCTCTTGGAGCCTCAGGTGTAATATGGGCAGGTCGTGTGTGTTGTGGGAGGGGCTTTCAATCCCTGCTCTTCAAGGCGAGAGCCAGTTGCAGTGTGTCGGCTGTGTTCGCTGCGCTTGCTCGGAGAACTCTGTTCCTACAGGGGTTCTCTGGTAGAAATGGACTGAAAACCGCCTGCCTGGCCCTCCTGATGGATCTTTCCAGGAATCGAGCATCATCTTTCAATCCCTAAAACCAAACTCACTGCCATCGAGTCGACGGCGACTCCCAGGGGCCCAGGGGGACAGGGTTGAACTGCCCCTGTGAGTTTCTGGAACCATCATTTGGGGGGAGCGGAGAGCCCTGTCTTTCTCCCTAGGAATGGCTGGTGGTTTCAAACTGCTAACCTCACAGTTAGCAGCACAACGGGTAACCACGACCAGGGCTTTTTATTTCAATACTAAGGGAGATGTTCTGTCCTTCCTGTGTTTTGGTCAATGCAGTTTTCAGCATGCGAATTCCACATCCGACCTGAAAACGGCGCCCGCATGTGGGCGAGGGCCGTTTGGTCTGAGATATTGCCTAGCACGGAGTAGGCTCTATACATTGTGTGTGTTGACTAGCTCTGTTGAGGGAACACAATGCAAATCCGGGTCCCTGAGAGGAGTCTGGGTGTCCCAATCCCCCTTCCTGATCGGAGGGAGCTGGGGTTGGCTGGCAGGAGGGGCGCTGAATAGGATCCTCTTCAGGCTAATGGGCAGGTAGAGAGTGGAGCGGACTTGCCCCGTGGTGACATTACAAAGGAATATAGACCAGCACCTATAGGCTCTGCCCCCGGTTCCACTCAGTGCTTTGGGCAGTTTTACTCTCCCCACCTGGCTAAGACTGGGTGGTGCTCTCTGCCTGTAGGTGAGCAGGAAGCTTAACCCCAGAATGCGTCTCCCTGCACCTGTGCCTTGCACTCTGCCCAGCTAGTCCAGCCTCTAGGCCCTGCTCCCAAGGGCAGAAAAGGGGGACAGGAGGTTGTAGGAAAAGGGGTGACCTAAACCTCCCATCCCTCTCTCCCAGCGAGGGCCTGTCAAAGTGAGAGCCAGAGAATCAAGGTTGAAGGGATTGGGAACCAGCCTTCTAGGGTCTTTCTGAAGGAGACCTAGTCCATCACTCCCTGTGCCTCTGAGCTAGGCTCCCTTGCCTTCCAGGATTCAGCCCCCACCCCCTTCCTGGTCCCAATACATGCCTAATGCCATGGATATTCTTGATGGCATAGCTGATCTCCCGTCTGAGTTCCTTCTCGTCAAACTCCATCTGTGTCGGGGAAGCAGAGAGACAGCTGGTCAAAGCCGGTCACCGATACTTGGGGGAGGTCATGACAGGGTCTGTCCCACGGCTGGGCATCAAGGGCCTCCAATTTGGTCAGCAAGGGAGAGAGATCGAGAGCGAGAGAGAAACAGACTCTTGCTGAAGAGGGTCCTAAGTCTGCCTGCCCTACCTTGACCAACTCAAAGGGGAAGCGCTCGTGGAAGATGCGGTTGATTCGGGCTCCTCCCGAGAGCTCATAGGTGTCGATCTGGTCTCCCGAGCCCTCGATGCGCTTCTCAAAGTCCACGGCAAACTGCTGGACCATCCTGGGGGGAGAGGGGTGTGGCCTGAGGGACAGAAGCAGCCTGTGGAGGGACCTTGGGGAACTGAAGGTGGTGCAGAGATGCGTGTGTGGGTTGAGGGGGGAGGAGTCTCAGCGTTGGGTGGGGGCTGGGGGTCAGGGAGAGCCTCACTGTAGCAGCGCCTTGGTCTTGCGAGCCGGGTCATCTGGGCGGAAGTTCTTGTACTCGTCCACCTCCTTCTCGATGGACAGCAGCTGGCTCTGCAGCTTGTTCCTCAGCCCAGGCAACGTGTCCCGAATGTGGTTTGTCAATTGCTGGGAGTGCAGCAAGAAAGGGGTCAAGGCCAGGATCATAGACGCCAATGACCACAGCATCAAGTAGAGACAAAGATGCCAGGGGCTCATGTGGATGTGGGGAGGTGGCGAGCTATCAGGGGCAGCTGCAGCCCTACCCACGGCTGCCCAGCCCAGCAGAATGAAAGCTGAGGTATCCATTGAATCAATTGCCAAATAGCTTCATTTTCAACACAAGCCAGAAATCTGGATTTTTGTGTGCAATTATCCAATTTTGAACTAATTTAATCTTCTTCCTGATAGTATAAGGACCGCTGCCTGGTGGCATCGTGGGTTACACCTTGGGCTGCTAACTTGCAAGGTCAGCAGTTTGAAACCAAAGATGAGACTTTCTCTTCCTGTAAAGAGTGAGTCTCAGGAATCCACAGGATTCCTGCTCTGTCCCAGGGGTTTCTGTGAGAAGGAGTTGACCTGAGAGCAGAGAGTTTGGTCTCAATCAGGGCAAAGCAAATGCATTGTGGTGGGAGGATGGGAGGATGGCTCACGGCCATCGAGTCGATGCTGACCCACAGCGACCCAAAGGACAGGGTGGAACTGCCCCTGTGAGATTCAGAGACTGTAACTCTTTATGGGAATAGAAAGCCCGGTGTTTCTCCCTCGAAGAGACTGGTGGTTTTGAACTGCTGACCTTGCAGCTAGCAGCCCAACGTGTAACCACTATGCCACCAGGCTCCTCAGCCTGAATTAAGGCATGCACGCACAGGCGTGGCACATCCCTGGAAGCCCCATTCCAGGTGGAGAAGCACCCCAGGGGACCCCTGGCATGCCGCTCCCCTGTCTCCAGACAAACCTCTCCCTGGTTCACCGGGGACCAGAGTCTTCAGCTGAGAACATGTCATTCCGGGTCCCCAAACCCTTACCAACCCTCCATGCACAGAGTCCTGGTCTCCCCACTCTGAGGGTTAGGCTGTGTGTCCGAGCTCCCTCCCTAGGTTGCAGTGAGGAAGAGGTCAGAAAAGGACTCACGGTGTGAGTATGGGTCATGTTGGCTGACTGACCTCACCCCAATCATTGTCTCCTGCTGGTTCCCCCAGCCCCCACCCCACCTGGCCTGAGCACCCACCTGGTTGAGGACCTTCTGCAGGTAGGGTGTGCCCATGCGGTCAGCCAAGTGGCGGTAGGATGGGTGGGAGAGGAAAAACTTTCGCTCAGCAGCCAGGGCGGCTGTGATGTCCTTCTTGCCATCGATGTCCTTCTGGCTCCGGTTCACCACCCCGATATAACCTGGGGACCGCACCGGGTCCAGGTCAGGGGACAAGCAGCCTTGCCGAGGGGTAGGGGACAGTGGTCAGGGTCAGGCAGGGACCTGCCTACCTCTGCGCAGGGGGAGCAGCTTGTTCTCCAGCACATCGCGGGCGTCTGTACCCTCATCCATCAGGTCCAGCTTAGTGATGACCCCGATGGTGCGCTGACCTGCGGGAGGGTCAGCCAAGCCTGAGCCTGCTCTCACACACAGGCCCCCACACATCCCACTCCAATCCCACGCCCTCCACCCTGGCTCCCCTCTCCCCCTCCCGCCCTGCCCACTCCCTCACGTCCCTGCTCCCACTCTCCCGGAACCCTCATCAGTTCTCCCCAGTAAACCCCTGTCTGAACCCGTCACCATCCTGTTGAGACCGTCCAAGTGGCTCCTTCTGATGTTGAGACAAGATGCCCGCAGCCCTGGCCTCGGAGGCTTGGTAGGAACCTACCCTGGGGGTCCACCTCCTTGGCGATCTTGAGGGCATCGGAGTTCGCCAGGTCGGAGTTGGCGGGCGACACGGCCAGGATGAGGCAGTTCTCTTTGGTGACGAACTGCATGAGCATGTCCCGAATCTGGAACTCGATGTCAGCAGGCTGGTCCCCCACCGGGACCTTGGTCATTCCGGGCAGGTCCACCAGAGTCAGGTTCAGCACTGGACAGGGCAGTGAGAGGGCGCGGATGACCGTGGGTGAGTGGAGTTGGGAGCAGGTGTGGAGAGAATTCCCGTGGGAATCGCGATGGGCGGAGCAGGCGGCAGTTGGGCGTGGGTGAGCGTGGGGCGTGGCCATGGGTGGGAGGAGTCATGACAGGGTGGAGCTTGGGTTGCAGCGCAGCGCTGGGACCGGGTCACTGAGGGGCGGGAATCTGCAAGGTTCAAGTTGGGTGGGGCCTGCAAAGGGGCGGGGCCTATAAAGGTGTTTGAAGGGGCGGGGCGGGGCGGGGGCGGGGCCGGGGGCGGGGCCGGGCCCGGGCCTCCCTACCGTGTGGTGAGTAGACTCGGAGGTTGATGGGCACAGGAGAGATGCCCTTGTTGGTGCCGGTGACCCGGTCCGTTTCAGCCTCGATCTCCAGACGCACCTCCTCGAAGTCGGTGAATTTCTTACCCTTGCAGTGCAGGAACTCGGCATATTCTACTCGATCAGCGGGCCGGGGGGGAAGAGCGTAGGCATCAAAGCCCAGAACCCCACCTGGATTTCTCCCCTATCAGAAGGAAACCCACTCCCCTTGTCTCACTCCCCCTCTCCCAACCAAGACTTCTCTCTCCCACCAGAACCTGTCCTAGCCAAGTATTTTCAAACCCATTCTTCAAATGGGGGCGGGGGCAAAGAGGGGGAGCTCCTGGCCAAGGTCTAACAGAAAGCAAGGTCAGTGGCTGGCCCTGGGAGCCCCGCGAGAGGCTGGGGGTGGGGGCCGAGGACACGTACCTGTGGAAGAATTGACCAGCTGCAGGACCAGGGGGCGGCGGGTGACAATGCCGGATCCTCGAGGCAGAAAGTCCCTACAAGGAGTTGGGAGTCAGAGGGAGATTGAGAGGGCTCTCTCCAAAACTCCCCGAAAGTTCTGGCTTCCACCGCTCAACTTAGCCAGGGGGCTTCAGGGCACTCCTTGGATGGACATGGAGGTTCAGAAGCATAGGAAGCGTGTCCCCTGCACCCCTCATTTTTCCTGAGCCACGGGATTTATGCAGCTGAGCTGCTAAGAGACAAGACCAACCCTTTCCCAGACTGCTCTCAGACATGTCTGGTTTGTTCGGAGCCAATAGGAAATCCCTGCACCAACTTGACCACTGCTGTTCAGCCTGAGAGAAACTGAGGCATGTGGGACCCCACCTGCTGATGTGTCCATGTTTAAGCGTCATCCAAAAGGAAAGGGGCCTGTACTTCCTCCCTTCCCTCCAGGGAAGGGCGGCATCTCACTTCCCCTTCCCTGGGCCCAGCTGGCTGGATCTGAGGACACAGAGGATGCTGGGAAGGAGGCAGAGGAAAGCACCCGTATTTCCAAAGTGCCCACTGTGTGCCAGGTGCTTTGTGGGCAAGCGTCTCATGGAGACAGTGGCCTCATGAAGCAGCCGAGGAGACGGAGGTTCTGAGACATCCCAGTTGCAGTCTGTACCTAGTAGAACAGACCCTGAGCCCAGGTCTGCTTGACTCTGTAGTACAAGCCCTCCCTCTGCCCTTCATCCCTCTGAGGAAGTGGAATGAGGGGTCCCACAGGCACCCCTTGCTCCTAGGCCTGACAGTGCAGACCTCGAACATGTGCTTGAACCGATGCCGTACCTGGCATCAGCTGTCCCTGGCTGACTCTTCAGGGTGTGGGTTCTGTCTGTCTTGTCAGTTCTTCTCATCCCTCCCAGCCCTGCCCCGCCCAGGCCATCACAAGCCTAAGGGTGGGGGCATCTCCAAGGATCAGCCTGGAGAATCAGAAGTCACAGGATCTTCAGGACCCAGAAAAGGGGAAGCAGCCGGAGCCCAAGCAGCTGCAGAGATCCAGCTAGCTAGCATGTTCGTGCAGAGGTGGCAGAGGCCCAAGAGGGGAATGGACATGCGCAGACTCACACACATCCCTAGTTCTGCCCATCAGACTCATACTCGGGCAGAGCTGAGGCCAGAACTCCGGTCTCCTGCCCCCTGCCCAGAACCTTGCCTGGCCCTACTACGCTCCCTGCATCCCAGACAACAGACTAGACCCAGGACTCCTAGGTTCAGGGGCTCTCTTGGGGGCTGGGGAAGCCTCTGCTGATGCCAGTCTTCATCCTGCCCCACCTCTGGGGAGAGCAGAGGCTGCTGGGAAGAGTCATGGGAGAGTCCAGGCTGGAGCTGAGGGAACTGCTCTAAAGGGCTTGAAGGGGGAGGGGATAAAGCATGCATTTGTTAACACTTTTTCAGGCACCAGCTAAGTCTGTCCACTCTCGCAAGGCTGTGAGCGGCAGGTGCACAGGAACTGCCTGGTTCTGTCCACTTCTGTAGCCCAGTGCCCAGCAAAGGGCTCCCTGCACGGGCGGCGCTCACTCCGTCCAGTGAATCCCTAAGCCGTCTACACCGCGCTCTCCTCTGGCAATTATCACCTCCACTTTACAGATGAAGAAACAGAGGCTTGGAGAGCTGAGGTGACCAAACTAAAGAGCTGGGACTCAAACCTGAGCATCCGTTGGGCCCCAGAGCCCAGGGAACTTCCCATCAAGCCGTGCCGTCCCCTCAAAGCAAGGAGCCAGACTTAGCTCTTGAGAGAACTCAATTCTGGGAGCAGCTGCGTGGTGCCAGGCCCTGGGGATGGGAGATGAGTCAGGCAGCACCCCCCACTTCCACCCCCACCCAGGAGCGCGTGGTGCTGGGCGAGGCAGACAGCAAACAGAATGCAATGCAGTGACATGTGCTAGAGAGGAGGTGTCGCAGGCAGCAGAGGGGTGGTGCTCAGCTGGGGGAGTTCAGGGGCTTCCTGCCGCTGTGGCCTAGCCTTTGTTTTGTTCTCTGGCTCCTTTGGGGGAGGTGACCCCGGTTTAGAGGTCTCTCAGGACTGTGGAGGGAGCACATTTGACTCACAGTGTTGGAGGTGAAAGCCTAGGGTCCACCTCCCTCTTCCACTAGCTCCTCACCCAGAAATACCATGGCAACTACTGTTGTCGTGGAAACGGTGGGAGGGGTGAGAAAGGACAGGACTACCCACAGAGTGCCCCCCCCCTTCCTGGAGATGTGGCCCTTCCCTGGATCTCTCTCCCACGAGGCTTCCCTGCACAGGTCAGCCCACCCAAACTATGTATGGCCCGAGGAGGTGGGGGCTCTGAGATAGTTCATAGAGGGTGCAGGGAAGTGGGTGGTCAAGGGGCCCCTGACAGCCTGCCCCAGTGGCTGGCTCCTGGGGCTACTTAAAGGACAAGCAGCTTATGGGCAGCAGAGATAGAGGGCAGGGCCCTGTCTAGCCAGGTGGAGAGGCCCCACCATGGCTGTGACCTCTGGGCACAGTCTGGCCCAAACGGCCTGCATCAGAATTCCCTGGGCGGCTTGTTAAAATACACGTTCCTCAGACATGGCCAGGTGGCAGGGTGGGGTCTTGGGGCCCCATCTGGATTTCCCACCCGCGCCCTAGGTGGTTTCCGTGTTCCCTGTCAGGTCTGAGGATGGCTGGCTTAGTGGTCTGGGGGCAGAGGCCTTGCGTTTGAATACTGCAAGCCACTTCACCCTCTGGGCCTCAAAGCTCTCAGCTTTAAACCGGACATCCGCTGGAACAGCGGTTCTCAACCTACGGGTCTCGACCCCCCTTTGGGCGTGGCTACGGGAAGGTGGGCGGGGCCTTTTCAAGGTGCGTTGTGGCCCGGGCCTGGTACACAGCCGGTGCTCAGTAGTTCAAGGACCCTGCCATGTGGTGACTCTTGTCCGCAGCCTCTTCTCTCCCCTAATTTCAGCTGGGGGATCGATCCTAATCCCCACAAACCCTCCCATGTCACCCCACTCCAGACCCTGAGTGTAATCTATGGACCGATGGGTGGGAATGCTGGAAATCAAGGAGAAGCTTGCATGGGCTATTTCACTGTGCCAGAGGGTGGGACCGAGGCCCTGAGAGGGGCAGGGAGATATGAGGGCCCTCAGCGATGAAAGGGGGCCCCGGAGGCCTGCTCCCTACCTCCTCGCTTGGCAGAGAGGGAAGAGGACCAGCTGGCTGGCACATATGGCTGTGAACTCCTAGCTCACTGCCAGTCCCTGTGCCCAGCCCAGGACTCGGAATGTTGTAGGTGCTCAGGCAGGATTCCTGGAAGCACCAGGGGGGCTCAGCGTTCCCACAGCTTTGTCCTTTCACTCGGACATGCTCCCTATAGCCCTCTGTTAAGCAGCCCCCAGGGGCTCTTCTGTGGGGGTGGGGGTGGCCACTTAAGCCTCCCACCAGTGCCACCCCCTGCACCTCTCACTGGGAGATGGCAGAACAGGTGCCTGGGGAAGTGTGCGGGGCTCACCAGCCGGGGTGGGTGTGTGGGGTGCCCAGTGTGGGAAGGTGGATGGTGGCATGCCAGCTTTCCCCATCCCCCACTCCTGGGCAGATGGTGGCTTCCCTGGGAGGCCTTGCCTGGCCATCTGCAGGGGCACCTTCATACCTGAAGAAATCAACACCTCCTGGGGCCGGAAAACACCACACACCCTTCTTGGACTTGTTACTGTCAACACCCAAGAGGGGTCTGGAGACTCTGCACCAAGAAGGGCTGACGTGAGCCCCGCTCCCACCCCACTCACACTCATCTGGGACCAAGCTCAGGGGCCCTGACTCCCAGGCTTGTCCAAATGCAAGGGGCACCCACAACGTGGCCTGCTTGGTCTTGGTCTGGGCTAATAATGCTTCTTCTGCTTCCGGAGTCTGATATGAGACCGTCTAGGGACCGACACGTAGGAACTGTGTGGCTGTGGACAAACAGCCCTCCCTCTCGGAACCTAGGCCACCCCCAGCAGCCAGGTCGGCTGTTGTGAGACTAATAGGAGCAAATGCACGATTCTAAGCGTGTAGCGCCTGCTGGGAGCAGGCTGGACCCTCACAACCAGGCCACCAGATGGTGTCGTGGGGCGGGGGTTGGAAGGTGTGTCTCCTGGGGGCTGGCTGGAAGGATGGGGGTCGGCCAGGAGATTTCCACCCAAATCTGGCCCTGAAGGAGGAAGAGGAGAGGGTGTGGTGGGCTCTGAGGTGCCCCTAATGTGGAAAGGCGAGGTGGGGTGAGGAGGTGAGCCAAGAAATACCTCGGGGAGCGGGTGAGGCTGCTCCGAGCAACAAGTCCCTCTCTGTTTCTACTGCCCTGGGAGTCCGGGTGTGCCCACCTCAACACAGCTCATGAATTTCAAGCTGACGTTTGAACATTTCAGGGCAGTCTGGCCTCAGATGCTCTGAGGATCCTGAGAGCAAGGGCTGCATGAGTGTCCTCAGCACCCAGCACCCAGCTTGGCAAGTTCACCAACCCATGAACTCACCCAGTCTTCCTCGCCAGCCGTCACCCTTCCTGCACCAAAGCCCCGTGCCCTTTCATGATGGGACAGGGCATCAAGGTCCTGGATCCCAGTCCAGAGCTTTTTCCTCAACCACTACTGGGTGTGTTTTTTTTGCTTTTGTTTTTGTTTTTAAGAAAACCCGTTCTCAAAAAAAAAAAAGAAAAGAAAAGAAAACCCGTTCTCTCTCCTTCCCTCCTGCCTGGCCACCCCTCCTTCCTCCCTGCCTCCTTTTTCGCTCCTTCTTTCTCTCTCTCTGACCAATGTTAGTGGTTTGGGATTTACAACATGGAAATAGATTTCTCTTTCATGTCCACCTTAAAGAGTCATATGTTCCCCATGTGAAAAGCATTTTGGAAAAGACGTGCCAGGTTTTACGAAACACAAAGCAGCCATCATCCCAGCACCATAGCTGTTGCTGGATTCGGCCCCAGAGCCCCGGGGTCTGCTGGGCAGAGCCGGTCCATGGGGCTTGCAAGGCTGTGGCCTGGGGAGACTGACTGCCAGGCGGTTTCCCCAGGCACTTCTGGCTGGATTCAAACCCCCGACCTTTCT